GCTGATAACAAATGGGAGAACCACTGGAATATTAACACATATGTTGCATGACTGCACAAGAAAACACGCACTCTAGGTTAATGTTAAATTGATTTAAATGGCATTTCTATTGCATCCTAATCAGATCACTTCACAATGCTTATAAAGTAGCATGCCTGTTATCAAGCAAGACTGACTATCACTGTCTTTAATCCAACTGTCCTTAAAACCAAGAGTTAATCGTCGGTTGTAGTCCAAGCTGAAGCCATTAGGACACATCAGTGGCCCATTGTGTATTTGAATTAGGCTAATTCATCTATCTTCTTAAACAAAAAGTTGATTCTTCCTAAAAATATCTTTCATCAAAACAAAAATAAAACAGTCTGAGGGATCTAAATCAAAATCGAGTTACAGCTTTCTCATTCTTTATAGCTCTGCCATATAGCATCAGGAAGATTAAAAGCATATGGCCTTAATACAGCTCTAGACAGACACCAAAGAGATCAAACACACTGCAGATAACTGATTTATACTAAAACCCATATGTAACCTGAACACATCTTTATGACCCTGGGTGGAATCACAGATTATTAAATATGCCGTGTGAAATGTATATTCATGAAATATGGGATGGATTTAATGGATTTCTATAAAATTTCAGTTTCCATGTAAAATTCTCAAGAGCTTTTAATACAAGAGACAGATATTAAAACAGTTTGACAGCTTTGCAGCACAGGCCACAGGTTATCTGTCTAAATAGTTTCCTGAAACACCAGGAGGTTTCCATTGTTTGATTTTGGTTTTTTTGCTCAACCGAAAGTTATGGCTCAATGTTGGACAAATTACTCTTTATCTAAAAAGGTACACAAGATAATAACCCTTTTCTCTGTATTATTGTAACTTAATATAGAAGAGAAATGTCCTCTAATGGAAGGTATTGTATTACTTTCACTCAAACACTTTCTATCACATACTGTCCTGATATCTGATACTCAAAATGATCCCTTTCTAGGGTAGAATAACCTGAAAGTACAGCCAGTTCAGTCAAAGCACATCCACATGATGTATTTAGATTGCATGTGGATTGTTTAAAAAAAGTATCATTTAAAAATCATTTGAAGCACAGATAGAAAATGTTGTATGACAAGATGATCATAACTATATCACACTGAATTAAAACATGTTAAGTAGCCGAACCTCCCTGGAAGTCGCTCACCGTTAGGCTCTGAATTACCGTGCGGAGAGTGCAGTTTTGGTTAGCCTTTCAAATTTAGCACGTAGCAAATGACTGGTGTGTGAAGGATATGTTTACAGTCGGATCAAAGAGTTCACTCAAGGTTGTTTCAAAGTGAATTAATACTTTCAAAAAGAACAACAGATGTTCCTGTTTATCATTTGAAACCTACAGACCTTAGCTTACAGTATAAAGGCTTTTGTCCAATGTAATAAATAACTCAAGATGCAAGCTACCCAATGTAGGGCTGTGAGATGATCCTTCTCTCTTAAAAGGAATACAGAAAGAATACCTTACCCCTAATGTTGTTGTTGGTTGCCCAGACACACTCCATCATCACACTGCTTTTCTATGACAGTGAGAGTAGCCTCACCATATTAACACATGATGGTGGTGCTTAAACTAATCTGTAAGCTCAGGGGCAGGGCCTACTGCGAACACAGAGCTAAAAGTAGATTGTATAATGTTCACTCAAAGTATCACGTGCCACTAAAACAACAATTCAAAGCGGACAAAGAACAAGAGGGGGAGGTGAGGGGTCAATGGCAGAAAAAAGAAACATTTATCTTTGGGGACCCCTCACTGACCTAATGTAAAATAAACAGACATTATGTGGCTGAGAGATACTAATGATTAAAAACCAATGTATTCAACACAGGTCCAGGGTCTGTCCTTTAAACAAAAACATTCCCGGTTTCATAATGAATGCTAAATTAGTCTACATTTCTTTCAAGAAATGCCCAAAAAGGATCTGGATAAATCACAGATGGTGATAACGGAAAGAGTCTGAGGGAACAAAAACACAGACACCCACACACATTATGTACATACCTTGACCTTCATCCATAATTCAACATTATTGGGTGGTCTCACTTTTGTCAAACATCCCAACTGAATACCACACAATACATAAGACTCGTATTCCACCTTATGTTATGATTTAGCCTCATTACCAAACCAAAGACAAATATTTCTAAAAAAGGAAACCAGGCTTATGTCCGGCACTGTACTGTGTATAATCTTAGGATCAGTTACATGTGGTAAGCATATGTAGAGTCATTACATCATTATTCCATGGCAATCGCATCCATCTAAGCAAAAATAAATAGAGGCTTTAAAGTCAAGGCACAATCTTCACTGAAATGTCAGACAATTAGGCATTGTGGGTCTCTAATGAACCCAAACACAGGCTGTGAACTACACCATTTTCTCATCATCCAGCTAATAAAGGAATTTAAGTAATGGTTAAACTGTTGGCAGATGTTTCCATGTATGTACATTATCTCACGTACTCCTCCCTTAGTAAATGATGTTACTCCCTAGACTAATATTACATAACAGTAATCATTACAAATTACTTAAATGGAGAAATGACAGATTTAAGGAAAAATATGTATAATAATAGATAAATAAACCTTTTCAGCATTATTGCAACATATAGGCCACATGTTGCACTTTCAGTCTCTTGGCTGTGACTTGTGTGACATTAGGATATGGAAGATAAATACAAAGGCGAGCCTTGGCGCCTGGACAATATCAAGAAATGTGATGGCCATTCCCCGGTCATGCGCTGGGATGAAAATATGTCACAGAATGACACTAACCAACAATGTGATGGAATGAGAAGCTGTGGGAGTCATGTTGTCTGGTTCAGCGCAGAACTGTGGCATGCAGAGTACATCACTGAGGACTCAACACTAAACTGCTGTTGGACACAGGAGTTGTATTCAACACTTGTGATGTCCATTAAGTGGTAAAAATGTATAAATATTACATCTGTAAGGCATTTTTGAGACCTTTACCAACTCACAGTGTCTTCTTACTGTTTAACTATCTCTCTGTAGTAAAAAACATGACATGGCACATCACTTCAAGTATCACAGGAAAGGTTCAGAAGCTCCTTTGCTTTTAATTGTTCCTGTGGGATTTATGAATGAGGGAATAATGCAACATATCAACTAATTAAACCATTGCCATCAATCCACATGATGTTTAACCTGTTTTTCTTTTAAATGGCTGATTGGAAATGAAAGGGAAAAGAGTCAAAATGGCGACATTTACGCTGATCTTGGCCCTCTGAAAAAGTTTTTAGGTTTTCTATTTTCATATATCAAGGTGCTCCAACATCTAATACAATGACATGTGTGAAGCTTTATTCTTGTATTGTTTTTTTAGATCTGATGACATGATGTCTCCTGGCAGCTACATACCACAATGAAAACACAATGTCCTTCATTCCATTGCTATCATAGTGACAAGACGTAAAAATAGTCAAAGGAAATATGCTGGCCTTTTCGTACTCAAAAGGTATGTCACTTCCCCTCTTGTTCAAACTTCCGTAACTGATCCTGCCAACAACAAATAAACAGAGTCGCTGACCTTGGCCATGACATAGAGATTACAATGACATAACAGGAAGTAGCATGAACTGAATAACACTGCAGCAGCCACATTTGTTGTCAAAGCACAGACTTCACTGGTGGAACACAATCTGCATCATTTGAATGATTAGTTAGTTTGACAAGAAGCAATGTTAGTTTAACTTAGACACTTCTGATACTCTCGGGTTGAAAAGACTGCTACTTATCAGACAGTGTAGTGTCATTTGGACAACAATCTTGCATAGAAGGCCCTTCACAATGAACATAAACAGTGTGAGCATGTCTCATAAATAGTACTGTTTTACAATCAGTGGGACAGCCGCGCAGCCCTCCTCCCAGCTGAGGGCCCAACAGGTCAGCCGGAGCCAAATCCCAGGTTGAGTTTTTGGGGGCCCAACTCCTGTTTAAAGGTCCCCTATTATACTGTTTTTCATCAATATATTATAGGTCTCAGATATATACAAAACATGTCTCTGAAGTGTTTGGCTCGAAATACCAAACAGATCATTGTAGCATCCCATAATCCCCTCTGTTTCAGCCCTGTTTCAAAAGTGCTGATTCTCTGTCTGTTACTTTAGATGAAAATAAGGAGCCCCTCCCCACGCCCCTCTGAGAGATATTTGGTTAAAAAGAACACAATGGTGCTCTAGGAGGAGAGTCAGGTGATAAGGTGTGGGGGGGGGGGGTTACAGTACCTTGGTTGGTTATTGGCTAATGGTTACACAAGCCAACAAATCGTTATGACATCATAAAGTGGCCAAAATCTGATCAGCTCATTTTCAGACAGGTTTTTATATAAATGGATCAGGACAAAAAGTGAGCAAATCATTTTTCCTGAAACTTTCAGAATCTCTTTACACAGAGGGGATACATGTTTATGTATAAAAGACATTAAAAAGTGGATTTTGCATAATAGGTGACCTTTAAGGTCAGGTTCTGATGCTTTCACTGCAGAACCAGTATACATATACATCGCCTGTGCTTTGTATCAGGACTTAAGACGGGGAGAAAGGCCAGAACACTTTGCATCATCCCTCATCTGATGACCAAAATGACAGCAGCCACTAACAGCTATCAGCTTAATCTCCAAAATATACCCTCAATGACCGTCTGGGAAATGCTAGGGAGTTTTTTTAATTGACGGATATTGTGGTTATGGTTCAGTTATGTAATATTATTATGACAATAGGTCTGAAGTCATGACTGTGAGGGATTGATTGACAGAGGCCATGAGCTTTTAGAAAAGGTGTCTAAATCCAGCAATGACTGTCACACAGGAGATGAATGGCACACGCACTTTCATCATTGACGAGTCAAATGGCATCACGAGCCTGTACTGAATGCCTCAGAGGTGGCAGTCATGGAATGAAGGGTACATGGGTGTTTTGTGGGCATGTTCCACTCACCCGTGAGATGGTGAGGGGGAGACAGAAGTCCTTCCCTCCTTGCAGTCTGAAGCCCCAGGGGGCGGGGCCAGCCAGGGAGACGCTGTAGCTGCTGCTCATGATTCACCTAGAGACAGAAGAAGAGATATTTTTACATTTGATAGTGCATGAACCAATATTTAGAGGGATATCAAACACCAAGAGACAAAATCCACACTGAAAAAATCCCAGACAGAGATAACACAACAATAAGGAAGAGAAAAACGGGAAATGAGTATGTAAACAAACCGTGTGTCACGTAGTTCACAGTCAACTTAGTGTGTTCAAGTCAGTGCACTGTAAATGGATATTCTATTTGACCTGAAGAAAAGCATTCCTATGACGAGTGTAGATTCAAAAGGTATGCCAGGTATGTTTTTCATCACTGTGTGTTATAATTATTTCCTTTTTGTCATCCAATAACATATCACCAGACCTTTTTGGGCTACTAGCTTACATTTGATTACAGTGAAACTATTTAGATTCAAGAACAACTGTCTATTAATAGTCCTTTTCTAAAGCTTTGTCCTAGGCAATGCCATTTACGATAGGGATATTACTGAGTCTGTCATATATCATATACAGCACAGGGCTCGACTAAGGGTTGCCACATTGCTATTGCTAATGAAAATGCACATCCTCAAGCAAATGAGTGTGACTTGTAATAAGCAACACAAAGGTAGTCTGAAAAAAAGAAACAAGGACAACTCAGGGATATTTATAGTGTTAGCATTGACTACCCTTTGTTTATCTAAAATAATCTCAGATCAGTGACTCTGGAGCTGCACTTTGGACCCATGATCTCAGTGTCCTCTCATTGAACCCACTGCTTGAGAAAATGATTTTCTGACAAAAAGGTAGCCAGACTGAGAAAACAAACTATATTAAAAAATGAACTGGCATTATGGAGGTACTGTCAGCCTATTGTAGATAGATCATATTGTCCTTACAATACATAAGGGGTAAAACAATCAAACCAGTGGCAACTTCAGCATTTTTAAAATTATGCATTGGTAGGCAAAGGCATTGTATCTCCTTTTTCCAAAATACTTGGCTCCCTTTGGTATTCATCTTTTCAATAAGGCAAAGCCTAGTGAACAGTCCTGTACCTGTATCATCCTTAAAATAGATTCCTGGTGTTGAGAAATGGTCTTTAGAAAAAAAGACGTTATATAAAATATGTCGTAAGCACATCCGGCAAAAATATCTGTTTATCCCTAATATATAACAGAGTGAGCATTAACCTTTCCTCAGGCAACTGTCTGTCTGCATTCACACCAAATCAGGCGTTGTGGCAATTAGCTAAGGGTTGTGCAACGGTGTGTGGGAGTGTCAATTAAATGGTACATTTGTGTGACAATGAATGCCAAGTCATTTCACAATGATTACTGCGTTTGTACTCCCTCGTGGCAGGGTTGTACAGATCTGGACAGCTGGTTACGTGATTGGCCATGCTACCGCAGCATGACATCAGGATGATTTCTCCAAAAGACGACTCTGTTTTTTACTTTTCACAGTGGGTAACCCATGCAATCCGCACATCAACATACTACCCACTTGAAAATGAATGTAGGTCTTGCATTTTTGGCTCAGCCTGCTGATTTTCTGTGAATGCAGCATAAATGCTCGACACACCCTAGATGGTCATAGACTTGATACATCTCAGCTGCCAACTCTACGTTTCATTGGAGAGAAGGTTTGCCAACATCTCAATGGCCAAATGCCCCATCATCTACATTACCTCATGGATGGATACCAATACCATATCCTGATTATACATGTGTGCATTCAAATCAAATGGACAGTTCCAAAAGTGAGACAAAGCGAAGACTATTTGGTGCAGTAAAATATTTCATGCACTATTAAGTTTCACTGGTTGAAGCCCTGCCTGTCATGCATTCCTTTTCCACTGAAAATTTGAAGCTGAAAGCTATTTATTAGAAGCTAAATTGAGGTTAAGTACAGTCACATGCTTACATTTAGTGCATTATTAAATATATTAGGTTAATGATTGGGGAAATTGGTGTACCATATTTGCAGAATGCACTTTAATTTACTGGAGTATTCAGCCAACAGCCTCTAGTGGATCTGTCTGTGTGCCTGTGAACCACGTTCAGAAAGAAACAGATCATGTGGAAATATATCACCTCTGCCCTGCACAACAGGGAGGGTGAATGTGGACATAAAAACATAACATCAAAGGCTGACCCACAAGCCCTATGTCACAAACAGTACACTGCAATCACTTGGGAAAAAGTGAAATGTAGGATAAAAGCCAAGTCTAACACTGATGTAATGTTAGTGGCAATCAAATTGCATTTTAGAAAGAAACTGAGAACCAAATAATGATGTTGTAAAGAACTAAACATCTGACATTTCTGCTAAACTAATGAATGAATAGAGGGGTGAATAGAGGAATTAAAGTATAGCTATCATTTGGTGCTGTACAATTTGAATATCTACTGCTCTTTTATTTCTAGCTTCAGTAAAAAGGATATCACGTTTTCCTCACATAGTCCATCCTTAAACAAAGCAATTCAAGATTCAACTATTGCTTTTGTGCACTTGGCACTGCAGAGAAAACACATTTTTCTGATCAGTATTTCATGAATAATAATGCCTTGTCATCCCAGAGGCATGCCATTCTCAGGTTGTAAGTCATGCTGCTGTCACACAAATTCCCTCAGGGACCCAGCACCACCTGCTGCAGACCATCACCTGGTCCTTGTACGAGACACACGTCAGATCAGAGGGTTGGCCAACAAACTGACTCATCATCTTTCCGGGAGGGGAACGGGCTCTTCAAAGAAGCCAGCAACTAAGCCACACAGAAGGCATGAGGGCGGTTGGAAAATAAAATCACGTGTGAAAGTGATCGTGAGGAGGTGAACACCTGGAAAACAAAGAGCACATAGCTCTACTATTTATACAACACACTCTCAGAATCAAACTAGAGTACACCATGGCCACATGGAGAATATGCAGGTCTATAATAAGAAATAAACTACTTATAGACTGCTGTCTCCCTCTTCAAGGTGATCGAGGGTCGATGTGAGCCAAGACGTTTATTTTTGGGGAATTTACAAGACCTAACCCACATCCATTATCACCAATCAATTACACTTACTCTGTTTATACTCATCATATTGCATTATTTGAGACACATCTTTGAACAACTGTTAACACAGAGATAAAGAACACATTTCAGATGTGAAAGCAAACGTAGGTGATGTCCTAACCTCAATATAAGGAACTTAAGGAACTGTTGCAGACCTTGCTTAGAATTTCATTAAAGTATACACCCCTTAACTGCTAACGCTCATTTAATGTTAAGGGGTGATAGTACAAAAGTTATTATAGACATAGATACTATACGTTTTATTCAAATTTCTTCAGGACTCAATGTCTTGAGGTCATTGTTCAAAACAGCCCTTAAGGAATACAAAGCATTGCATAGCTCTGTTAACTATGTCAGTTGTTCCCAAGAGATTATTGCGGTATTACATTTCATAGCCAGCCAACTGGGGCATTTCAGAAAAAAAAAGCTACATAAAATGCTGATAGAAAAATGTGGATCACACACAAATCATACCCACATTTCAGTTGCATTTCATTCCCTAATAAGGAAAAAAAAAACATTAGCTCATCTCATGTCCCTGCTTGTTTTGCAATCCATAATGATATCAGGCATAGACATGAGCAGACACACCTTTCAGTGTTCCCAACCCTCACCGAGGGAAAAGCAGTTTATCAGCAGCAATCACATCAACACTTCTCTAAGCCTGTATACATCTGGGTATTTTCCACTTAGGCCTTATCTTATAAGTTCCTGTCATAATGGCACTTTTTTATGCCCAATATTTCAGCACATTCACACCAAAAACAAGATAACAACACAATCCTTTCAGCGCAGCACACATGAGGCCTGCCTACTGTGTTATCATACATTTATACATTTGTGTAGATGTATTTTAACTTGCTTGATCTAATTTGTAGGTAAATTACCAAAATAGTCTAAAATTGCAATTCAGTGTAGCTTTCTAGTCATGGTTGGATTAGACAAATATTGCCTCACAGGAGAAAAGCTCTACAGTAATTGGGAATCAAACAGGGGTCGACAGGGTTGTGTTTTACTGCCATTTAAAAGCCTGAACTCCATGCCCTTTCACTGCATGTGCCAAATACAGATGTTTTATTAAACTCATCATTAAGTATTGGGAAGAAAACAGTTATCTTGGTTATGGTGTAGATAGAGTGTATGACTGGCCTCTTTAGACGTCATGCTCATTTCACAATGTTTCAGGAGACAATGTGTTGCCAGGTGACATCATTGCAGGACAGGACATTGACTCACTTCACTAGTGGGCTGTCTATGACATCCACTTTAACTTGTCAATACAAGACAAAAAATATCTGATAAATTAGTCAATGTAGCACATACTGTGAAAGTATTTTCTTATGTAAGACTACGACAAATTAAAACTTAAAGAACAACTGATTGAAAGTCATATAAAAGGCATTTGTCATAATCCTTGTATTGGGACAACTTGTACCAACCTGAATTTATTGGACACTTTCTGTACACCAGCTGATTATACATGTTTGTTCTGAAAGCAACTCTTGTTCCGTTTAACACTTTCTTACATTCAGAATTCATAAAATATATACTTTAAATGCCTAGGGCAGGCTTTAAGTAGGCTACCTCAGTGTGTCAGTCTAGACCAATAAATATACTATAACTTTTAGGGGTAATACTCTAACACAATATTTAGCTTTAGTTGTAGACTTTAGAGAAAGTGATAACTCCCTAGGTCACCATCAGTCGTGTGTTTACTTTAGGGAACACACATTAGCGTCATTAAAGTCCAGCACTCCTTGTTTTTTTTTTCACGGAAGCTGACATTTAATGTGTATTTGGTTGCCTCAGTCAGTGGGTGTGACATAAAACACATGTCTGACATTAATAGTGCACTTTTCTTATAAACTTTAAACCAACTTGTTTGTAAGTAAAACAAACCTGTTACTGTGTTAGGAGCAGCGTAACAAATCGTGTTTTTTTAACTAATGCCTAAATATTTCGTATGCCATATGTTCATTTAATTGCAACTTTGTAGCAGGCACATAAAGCAGTTAAATATAACGGTAACACAAGCAGTGGCTTCCCCTGGGCCGCTATCTGTGAGAAGTTGTCAGATGTACCGGACTCACCTTGCCTTGTGAAGCCGGGTCTGGTGCGGAGGGAGAAGTGTGACTTTAGTCCGTCTGTTCTCGGAGTCAACTGGACTGAGCGGAACTGAAGCTTCCGCATATAAGCCAGCCCCATCTGGCTGCGGGTAGGAGGGCTCACAGCAGCGTGTGTGTGGGTGTGTGTGAGTGTGTGAGCTTTCTCTGTGAACGCACAGCGGCAGGCATGGGCATGTCAGACCGTGGGACAGAACAGGTGAGGCTGAAGAGTGAACTCCCAAAGTGTCCCTTTGTTGTCGGCTCAGGTGAAGCTTAGCCTGCAAGCCCTCCTGAGGTCATACCTGGCCACAAAATGCAAAACTGACGAAATCACTACGAAAGATCTCGATCTCTTTGTGAACATGTCAAACAAATGAGTTGTTGTGATTGAATACATTAACTTGGGAGAAGTACTCAGATGTTGTACTCGAGTAAAATTAGAAGTACAGTAGCTAGAGTAATAGACTATGTTACAAGTAAAAGTCCTGCATTCAAAAGGTTACTCAAGTAAAAGTACAAAAGTATTAGCAGCAAAATATACTAAGTAAACAAGTACTCATTATGCAAATTGGGTTATTATTTGGGTTGGTTATAATTATTGATGCATTAATGTGTTATCAAAGCTGGTAAAGGTGCAAGTGAAACTAGTTAGAATGACTTGGTATACTGCAGGGTATTGTGAGCAGAAGATTTATTTTTTAATATTGAAGTTAAATGCATCAATCTGGTGCACTTTGAGAGCAAAATTAAGAAATATATGGATACCTCTCAACATCCATATGAAACAGAACTGTAAACAGATTTACTTTTTCTTTATGGATATAAAAGAAAGTAAAGCCTGACTCCTACTGGCGGCTGGTTAAATGACTCCTCGTCCCTGAGTACACTCATCTTTCAGCAGGAAAGGAGAGAGGGAATCAATTGGAGCTGCCAGGGAGGACACAGGGGAATCCAGACGGTGGTTTATGGGATGCAGAACTTGGAGCAGGAGGCTCGAGAAGGCTCCCCGTCAGACACCATTTCTAACACAGGCACAGCATTTTCTGTATTTGCAGTCGGCTCCTTGTCCGGCGACAACCGCTGTTTGTGAGTCTACTCCAGGTGTAACTTAAAGTGGACCTATCATGCTATATTTGAATAATATAGTGTAGGACCATACCTATATAAGGCATATTTATACTTTTTTTTTCTTCAAAATACCAAACAGATCATGCATTTTAGCCATGCCTCATTTTGCTCAATTTGACATTTTTTATCTCTGTTTTTGCAAGGGCAGATTATGTGAGAACAGCACCATCTACAGGCCTGGCATATGTACTACAACGTCTCCAGCGCTTTCGAACGGCAATGGCCGTGGCTGTCTCCTAGCCGTAGCGCCACTGTCCTGACGTCAGGACAGTGTTCAAATCTGCATCAGTTTTTATCAGATCCGTTGCAGCCCCTTTTTTAGAGATTTGGGTATGGAGGAAAATAGAGAGGGTTGTGTTTTCTGACACTTGGTGAGTTCCCTGGAACACCGGGGACACATATTCATGTTTAAAAGACGTACAAAAGTGCATTTTGCATGATAGGTCCCCTTTAAGTCTTATTTAAAGTGGACCTATCATGCTATATTTAAATGATATATTGTAGGGCCATACCTATATAAGATATATTTATACGTTTCTGTTTTCAAAATACCAAACAGATCATGCATTTTAGCCATGCCTCATTTCGCTCTATGTGCTGTTTGCTGTCTACGGGTCTGATTCTGCTGACCACGCCCCGTGCTCTGATCAGCTGCTGGGCTGTCAGAAGAGGGGGAGAAAAAGAGATCTCCGTCCTCCGTGTTTTATTATATAGAGTCGTTATTCATTTGTTTTAAAGCTCAATAAATAACAAAGAAGACCTTTGACCGGCACTTTTCTAATTTTGTCCGGAAGATTTAAACTTTAACGGACATCTTGACCGGTGAAAGAAACTGAAACTGAAACTCTGCCGCACGGTCACCTCGTTCCTTGGAAGAGGCGGAGAGGTGGGTGTTTGTCATCTGCTGGTGGACTAACCGGAGAGAATTACAGTGCTTGCCTCGACGGGGAGGGATTGCATTGAAATAAAGCAGCGGGAGCAAACGCTTGCCTCGGGGAGGGAGAAAAAAAGCCACAGCGGAGAATAAACAGAAGGGTAACCATGGTAACTATGGGCGGGAAGTCTTATTCGCTGCTTTTGTGGCAGACTACAGCGCCACTTACAGGCCTGGCATATGTACTACAGCGTCTCCAGCGCTTTCGAGCGGCAATGGCCGGCCGTGGCCCAACCCCACATTCCCCTGATAGGTGGAGAGTTGGCCCAATAGCCGTAGCGCCACTTCTGTGACGTCATAGAAGTGTTCAAATCTGGATCAGTCTGTATCAGATCCGTTGCAGCCCCTTTTTTAGAGATTTGGGTATGGAGGAAAATAGAGAGGGTTGTGTTTTCTGACACTTGGTGAGTTCCCTGGAACACCGGGGACACATATTCATGTATAAAAGACGTACAAAAGTGCATTTTGCATGATAGGTCCCCTTTAAGAGTTCATTATATTTCAACACTTCAGTAACTAAAGGTAAAACATACATTTAGTAGAGTAAAAGTACAATTTACCTCTGAATTGTAGTACAAAATAGCATAACATGGAAATACTCAAATAAAGTACAAGTATCTCAACATTTTTTTTTACAGATGGAGCATCTTATTTCAGACTCCAGCTTACTGCTTCCTGCCTACTACCTGCCAGTTACCTGCCTAAGACCTGCCAAAGACCAGTATCTGGGAATGTTAAGCCCTCCCACTATTTTCCAAGAGGGCGTTGCCAGATTTTCAATTTCAGGATTTAACCAGGAGATGGCGCTTCCTTCACAAAAACAGGAAGACAACTTTTCATGGACTTTCAGTTTTGTTTAGAAGAGCATTTGAACACATCAATATTTTAGATCAAATGAAGTATATCTAATCTTGTAATTCAATAATATATAGTCTTTATATATTAAATAACTATGGCCAAACTAAGACTTAGTTTTTCACAAGAGAAAATGCAGATATTATATAAAAAACTAAAGTTAAAATCTTGTTTTTAATGCCCCAAGAGCAATAAAAACACTTGGTAAAAAAATCTACAGAATACATTTAATTTAAGGGGAGCAGTTACTGAGAAGTATATAATGAGAACTGCTACCAATGGTGGCCTATTTAGTTTATTAAGAAATACATATTTTTAGCTTATTTCAGACTCCAGCTTACATACATTTCCCGCCTAAGGATAATATTCCCACAGTGCAGCATAATGTACAGTATCACACTGTATTACAAATTCAAAGTAAATGACTGTGGGTAATACAGCAATTTACTGCCTAGATTACAGATTTTGTTTACAGTGTATGTTGCATGTTTTAAATGTATTGTATTTACTTGTTTAAAATGAAATGTGTTTTAGATTGACTTTTAAAATCTAACTAACTACAGATGAAAAATAGCCTCCAAAAATCCTGAGTGAGGCTTTCATAAATTGCATTTAGCTGACGCTTTTATCCAAAGCGACTTACTATTTAATAAATGATATATGATTATTCATAACAAATATGAGTGATGTGTGATTATTATTTATGCTATATACTGATATAGGGCTAAGTAAGCAATCAATCCTGCAAATTAACCCTTAGTTGTTCAATATATTTATTCAGACAATGTGAGTAGAAATACAGAAATTCTGCTCCCACCTAAGGCCAACGTTGCAATATTACAACATTTTCCCCCAAAACGTAAACATTTTTAAAACTCTTTCATTTCTGCTCCAGAGGCCAGGGGTTAAATTGGGATTTGATATGTGGGGGGGCTCTGTTAGAAGGTGCGACGGGGGGGGGGGGAGAGAGAGTTAGACGCTCGTGAATTGTCAACGGGGGGGGGGGGGTGGTGTTGGCCAGGGATAAGTCCCGACTCTCCCGACGGCCAATCCGTGCCTCCCCTGTCTGCACGTTGCTGACACACACCGCTGCAAACTCTCTGCACGGAGGAGCCGCGGAGGAAGAGACACACGTTCACTGAGCCGAAAAAACTATATCCGGTCACAGTGATCTGCTATTTTAAAGTAAATTCAACACATATCGACCCTAAATATAGCATATATTAAGAACGAGAAAGTGTTAACATCGTTTTTTGTAAACATATGACAAATGTGCGAGGGTGATGACATCAGAGCATCGTCCTATGGGCTTAGCCCCGGACAGCCCCGGCCCAATTTAACCCCTGCCAGAGGCTATACAACAACATCTGAAAGGTCAAAAAAACAAACAGGGCTAGACAGCCATTTGTAGCATATCGTCACCTTCTTAAACTAATGGCCTAAGTCATATTTGAAAGTTTTTCAAAAAACAGAAAAAACTTAACCAAATATAGAATATATGATATATATTAATTATTTCACACAAAAAGGTTATAACAATATATGACTATTGACGTACAAATAACACTGTCTGTCAATTGTGTAAAATAAAAGGATTAGATTACTTAGGCCAATTTACGAACATGTTGTTGTGACTTAGGCAATTTGAAACCTGACTTAGGCCTTATTACTTCTGGAGTAAGTGACTTAGGCACAACAGTGCACTTCTCTTTCCCGCACTACTGTGACAGACCATGGGGCTGGGTCAGCCACTAACAGTTTAAAATGCTAGAAGAGCATACAGAGACTCAGAAAACAGAGGGCAGTTACCGTGGTTGGCCCTTTAATTCAATATAGCAAACTCAAAAGGTACAACTTAAATCACTCTTAGCTAAATAAAACAAAAGGCAAGTCAATCAAACCCTGAGGAGGCATGTGCCTCTCCTCACTACTCCCTCCAGCTCTTCTTTGCTGTGTTTTTAATTGTAACCCTTTTCCATTTAAATCAGTTTCTCCCCTGAATCTTTCTCAGTCATCTTGGTGTGTGTGTGTGTGTGTGTGTGTGTGTGTGTGTGTGTGTGTGTGTGTGTGTGTGTGTGTGTGTGTGTGTGTGTGTGTGTGTGTGTGTGTGTGTGTGTGTGTGTGTGTGTGTGTGTGTGTGTGTGTGTGTGTGTGTGTGTGTGTGTGTGTGTGTGTGTGTGTGTGTAATCAGACAATGCAATGATCCATTGCAGCTGGCTTCACAATAATTCAATTTATTTATCACGGGGGCGGTATCAAGTCAGACTGGGGGCCGGCTCTTCATCACGAACCGATCACGGGCCGATCACGGACCGTGCACGAGCCAATCACGACCCTCGTGTTTCAAACTGTCCAAAATAAGACGCTCCATCTGTAAGTGTAGTACTTACAGTACAGAGTAAATGTACACAATTATTTAGGGTGGTATAAACATAATGACTAACAAAAACTAAAAAAAAATATTTTTATTTTTGTTTTATTGTGTGTCCTTTGTAGAGGACATCGGGTGTTAGTTATGCGAAGCATAGTATACAAACAACATTACCATGCAAGTACATTTAGACAACATTAGAGCACAACAACTCAATGCAACAAATATTGAGCCCTCATTTGTAGTACTCCATCCTTTTTTGAAATGCAGAGATACATCTGACACTTGAGGCACTTGATGTATGTTTTCCCCGTGCATCCGTCTGCCATGAACCCTACAGAAACCTACGTGTTAGTTTTGGCCCATGGTGGACTCCATTTGTGTTGTGTAAAATGGGGGAAATAAAAAGTTAGCAAATCCCCATGTCCTCCTCAGAGGACATTCATAAAAACATTTAGTTTTAGGTCAAATAAGTATTACTGTACACTGCTCTGAAAACTCACTAACTCCTAAGATGTTCCCTTACTATAATTAATTAAAATATTGAACTCACAAGACTGGTAATTACAAAATTACAAATTGACCATTTCTCTTTCTATAAATAGTGCTTGTGTTGATGGACGCCATTTTGAAATATAATGAAATTATCTTTTTCAAAGCCACACCCCCACATATATGTTTGAAAAGCCCAGGATGTCCTCTGTGGAGTTCAATTGGACTTAATGCTGTGGCATGTATAACCTCAAAGTAATGGACCAAAACCCAATGTGCTCCACAGAGGACAAAAATGAATGGGTGGGTCTCTGGAGGTTAAATTATTGTTAAGTCTGTCAATTATTTAACACCTCACGTACCACAATAATATGTAGCTCTGTAAATCAAATGTGTTTCTTTTAAAATATAATATTTTACCATGCAATATTTGCCCTTGTTGTATCTCTAAGTTGAACAAAAAGTGCATTGTTTTTATTTTGAGTCAAAGAGAGTTGTGTCATTATTGTAAGGAAGCAGACTGTCAGCGGTTACAGGAATGTAAGCGATATTTTTGTATGATGTTATGAAAGAAGTATTTAAACGTTGCTGGGTGTCAGCTTGCCTTGTTTCATCAGTGGACAATGATGTCATTCTCTCCACTAAATACCTCCTATATAAAGGACAGACAAGTCACATGCCATCCTACTATTACCCACCAGATGTTTAGAGTATGTGAAATATGAAATTATCAATAAATATATCAAATATAAAAATCCAAATGGAGGAAATGTTCATTGAAATGTAGAATTCAAATGATTATTTGCTTATTTATGGTCCATTATGCAGTCACAGTGATAAGGCATGTACAGTAAGCAGGTTTCAGTCACTCTGATTGTACTGCCATAGTGTTGGTCTGCCCTCTAGTGGTCATCAGAGGAAGTGCATGCTTCACTGTTTAAATACTGTGGATTTAAAGCCGCTCAGTAATTCATTGCCTGGGGCTGAGATGTGTATCGTCTATCGTTCCCTCCTCCGCTAGTTTCTTGTCTCCATAGACATCGCACCTAGCCTGAGGCTGAGCTTTTCATAAAGCCAATTTAAGGAAATGGAGATTACAAAAAATGGTTTTGAATAGTGTGTCTCATGACTATCAAAGGTTTTAATTAAAACTAAAAGAAACAATGATTATTGTTATTTCACACGTATATTGTTTCGCTTTAATATTCTTTCTGAAATAATCACAAAACATTGCTGAGCTACTGTCACTGTATGACTCGTTATACCTAGAATGATCACCAATGAATGACTCAAATTATACAAATATGATGGACAAAGTTTTAAAAAGTATGATTTTTAAGATACAGATTTCCATACGATTTTCTATGGACATATCTTTCCTCTAGCACCACCAACAGGCCAATTATTTGAGCTGTATAGAAAAATAGCAATCAGCAGTCAAATCAAAATTATTGAAATTATTGAGCACATTTGTTGTTGCCCTGACAATGCACATTCGTGGGGAAATATTTTAGTCAAACAACATCAAATTACTATGCAATTATTTTAATCATTACATTTTTTTTTATTTAATCAATGTTGTAATTTGCAGATTAATCAATAAAAGGTGAAATAGTTGAAGCCATTTTTCCTATGTTTTAACAGTTTCCTTTCTTGTCTGACTGCTACTGAAAAGAAGCTGAGTTGGTTAGGAGAGTAAGAGGTTTGGCGGCAGCAGGGGAAACCCTCTCCAATTTTGGTCAGTTTATTTATTAAGACAGACATTTTTCATGTACTCAAAGGTAAAACGCTGCGTACTTATTTGGTGGAGGAAAGCCTGTAATCCCTCAGTTTGTAAAGTGTGATTATAGCATAAGCCACAGATTTAAACAGGAGAGGAATGTGTGGACTAGGGTGTCGGCTTTGAGAGGAATTTGTTAACACATTTTCAAAGTACTGATTCACACTATTTAGGGTATTCTAAGTGTTTCCACTGTGCTTTAAGTATGTTTCTACTAATGTATTACTCAAATTAATAAATGATTACTTGTATGATGTATTACTCTGTCTAATCTGACCTTAAACAAAAATATACCATTACTGTGACTTGCATCATTTTAGTTAACTGTGATATTTTGTTAAATAGATACATTGATTTGTGTAACATGCTAAAAGGCATGTGCTATTATATTATTGATCACCATTAACTGTACTAAGCCAGCGAAGCCAGATGCTCTTAGTTGTTTTCATTCTGCTGCGCAGGTCAGCTGGGCATTCTTTCAGCTACATGTCTGCCATGTCAATATATGGTTATAAACTAATGGCTAAACCCAGCAGAAATCCCCCTGTGCAATGTGACTGAAGCACTGAATTGCAGCAGTCCTTCATGCAAGGCTTCAGTGCATACCTCAAGATCATCTTTACATAACTGGAGGAGCACACTGTCAGGACATCTTGGAATTAAAGTTCAAAGACTTCTCAACCAGGAGCTCTCCGGGTGTTTAAATTTAAAAGGGAGAACACACTTCAAGTGTCAAACTAGATAATTGGCATCATCCGTGTATTGCCTTGTATTAAATGAAACTGGATGCATGATCCCCTTGCCAATAGAATAACACATTCAAAAGATCCATATGATTAATGAACATTTGTCACCCTGATGCTTCAGATGATCAAAGCACATGTAGAGTGTGTAATCTACTCTTAATGCTTCTCAAGGCGTGCTAAACATCGACTGAAATTGGACAAACATTTGATTTGCTGGGTTAAAAAAAAGAAAAATTAGTGGGGAAATTATATCCTCATCCACCTGCTTCCTGAGAGTGCTTTAAAAAAGGTAGACCAAGATACTATATTAATTCTGCAGACTCTCACACATGACACAGAATTTGTAGTAATACTTTTGGAAGGCCATGTAAATCATAATTGTGCTATAATGCATGTATAAAAGAGTAGACCTTTATATGAGATACATATATATGAGATCTTTTTATATATATGCATAATACCTTATATCAAAGTTTATTATGTGTGAATTGTAAATTCAAAGCTACAGAAAGTTGTAAAGACATTTCTCTGATGTGCTAACATTTAATTATTAATAATAAAAAAAAACGTTTTAAATAACATTTTATGGTCCATGATCCGGATTATTCAAATGTGTATAATAGCCTTTATAAGAGATTCTGCGTTTCAAGCTTTATACAGTAGGCGATTGGGCAGAAACATGTGTTGAGAGCTACATGAGAAGTTTATTTCTCACAACAAACACACACATGAATGACCATAGTTTAAAATGTAACAATAGCACCGGAAGCAACAAAGATGCAGTAATCAAAGAAGGAGAAGGTGCAAAATGTCAGTGATTGTTGCGGTGCTAATACTGTTCCTGAGAACATGCAGGCTTAATCCTTATTATAAAATCATAACGCATGATAAATGAAGATACATCAGGGCATCAAGTGTCTTTATGACTATGGCACATGGTAGCTGTTTATGCAACATGACTCCCTTTGGTTAGCAAAACACTTTATATCAAACATGTAACTCTGGTTTCAGAGTAGCTGCAGTGAATGAAAGTTACCGGTTTTATATCGCATGATACAGCACATTATATCAGAAAACGTACACCAGTTGCTGGCGCCTTACATGTATTATATTGAGTTCTGCAAAGATTTATAAAGGCATAATAGACTAATTAACTTGCTAATTGTGCATTATAGACATTCAAATATCAACCACATTTAAATGAACAAAAGGTGGATATAAAGTCAACTCATGAATATATTTGCTTTCTCATAAAATAAAATAAATAAAGATAATTGATAATAAATATGGTTGTTTAATTACTTGTTCTTGTTATACAGTAAGTGTTTGGCCCCTTAGACACAGGTGCATTTTAGAATAAAATTGCCTTATTTTGAAGGTTATTTAAAGTCGAGATTTCATTTGTAAGATTTCTATACGAATGCATAAAAACATTTAAACAAAGGAATTTGATTGCACTGTATTGCTAAACGCTTGAGATAAAAGTTTAAAAGCGACTTAAAAGACATTCGTAAACAACAAAAACAACTTTACTCTTCTGCTCACACATAGACAAATAAACACTTTAAACATTTAGCTTATAGAAATCTCTGCACGGACTCAAACTCTTGAGCAGAACAGTCTGGAGGCTGCAAATGGAGCAACAGTTCTCTCTTCAGACTCTGTGAGCTTTGTTTTTCCTCACAATAGCCAGGGTCTAGAGGGCCTTTCTTTAGGTCGAGTCTGATGACTGCTTGGGAGTGCACATACGCGATATTGTCCAGAGAGTCTGGCTGGAGGAGGACTTCCAGCTCCTTCTCACCGTTCTCCTTCTGATCTTGTTGAGTCTGTTCTTGCCCATCGTCTTTATCTTGTTCTGCTTCCTGGTTCTTGTCTTTATTCAAACTTTCAGGATTCTCCTCCATTCTCCTCCCAATGGCCAGGCGCATTACTGTGTTGACAGACTCCAGCGATAGGGTGTGATCACATCTGTTGGATGAGACTCTCTTTGGGATGTGGATCTAAAACACAAAAGTAATCGACATGATTGTGCTGACCAATTACGTCTTCAAAGCCCCAAAATGATGAGAATATGTCCTACCTGTTCCTGGCTGTGGCTTCCCTTTCCCTTGGAATGGTTAGCCAATGACTTTGGATCTTTGTCCCTCAAAGCTCCAAGGGAATAGCTGGACTTCCGACTATAGCCCTCATCAATAGGGTCCAGCTCCACGTCACTCCAAACCTGCTACAAGGGATATGCACATTTGTACATTCACATGTAAATCAAGGCAAGAATGTACTACAGTAATTAAAGTGGGGACACATATCTATGTATAAAAGACATCAAAAAGTGCATTTTGCATAATAGGTGACCTTTAAAGTTTCAATTTCGATTTAAAAAGAAAGCTGACTTATTGATATTTGTAGTAAAAGTGTTAAAAATCAGTCAACCTAGGGGAAACACTGAATGCGACTCTGTATGACAACTCATATTACCATTCAATTGCGGTACTAACAGGATTTATTTTTCATGGTTTCCTCGTGAGAGAGAAATGGCATATTTATTGTTATGAATGCATAGAATTGTTTCAAACCCACATAATAACACAAGGAGTTCCAGGGACTTCTATTTGCCAAAAGTGTATATAACAAAACAGGGTAAAAAACAAATGCAGAAAATAATGTGGCTTTCTGTGCATTTGATTGTTGGTTTTTGTAAACCACTGATAAACGCCTGTTGTTCTGTATTCACTGAAACTACTCAAAAGCATGTGAAGAAGCCAAACTCACTGTGTCGGCCGTAGACATGGAGGAGACTCTGTGGAACCTGTTTTTGGAGCAAGACGACTGTCTGCTCAGCATCGAGTCCCTGAGGGAGGACTCGCTGTGTGACACTGATATGCACTTCTTCCTGGGGGGCTCTCCTAGGAAGTGAAGACAGGGAACATTTTCTGCCATGGTGTCCCTGTTGAAAAAAGAATGAACTTTCAGCACAACCCCTAGATTTCCATTCAAGCTTAAGTAAGTGATTAGACGGATGACTGCACTCACCTGTATTTAGAGTGAATGATGGCGTAGATAAAAGGGTTGTAGATGGCTGATGCCTTGGCTATAACAGCAGGCACAGCTTTTGAATAGGGAGTGAGGAAGCTTGCATATCTGAAAGGTGTAAAGATTGAGTAAAATTGCCCAATGGCTGTAACAATACTAGTTATGTAGTTTAAACCTGTCTAATAGCAATTCATTATCTCATGTTTAAGGATTTTCTACAAAAAGTGAAATATGGATCACGGTTGATGGCTGAAATGAGTTACACAGTGCAACCAAGCATCCTGTATTATGCCTGAGGCTACTTTACTGTCTGTACACAACAAAGCAAGTACACATAATTAGACCGTAAACAGCCCTTGTCATACTGTATATTTACCCAGCCCAGGCGATGAGGGTGACACATGCATAGGGCGACCAGGAAAGCACAAACACTATGATGACCACAGAGGCAATCTTGGCCAGCTTCCATTCAGTCTTGATGGACTGCTGTTGGATCAGCGTTGACTTCCTCACCTGATACCCAAACTTCTCAATATCTCTGTTAGGAAGGAAAAAACACATTCGTTATTCAGAGGCTAAATAAATTAAAATAAACACAAAAAACTCAGTGTTGTGTTTGCATACAGTTGTTATCATGTAACATGGACTATGGTAACGAACAAAGTGTATATTGGAATGTTCTTATTCCTGTACTTGGATAAGTATTTTAGTCATTGTTTTAACAAGGTTTTTACGGGAAAGAATATGAAATAAGACAGAATGAGAGCAAAGCTGACGTTGCGTAAAGATATTCCTTTAAGTGAATGATGTCCTTAAGGTAAATACTTAAAGATAGATACATTGTAACTTGGTTGATACAACAATAAAAGGAATCCTTGCTTGGCGGCATTAAAAGTCCCTACTGTATACAAACCTATATAAATACGATTATATAATAAACCTAATGGTTACATTACATTACATGTCATTTGTTAGACGCTTTTATCCAAAGCGACTTACATACTCAATACTGTGGACAATCCCCACAGGAGCAATTTGGGGTGAAGTGTCTTGCCCAGGGACACAACGACATGCTGACTGCAGTGGGACTCGAACTTGCTACCCCCTGATTCGAAGTCCAGCACTATATCCACTGAGCCACAGCCACCATGATGTATTCAGTCTTTGAGAATACCTCTGAATTGGGTAACAGCTACATTCTTATACTGAGGGGTGAACTTAGAGGCTAATAGTGACCACAGACAGTAATGTGCAGCATCTGTAAAATATATATATACATATGTGCACAAAGATAAATCATGAAGAGGAAGAACTAAAGGGAGATGCAGAAGCAAGCATCATAATATACATAACATGCTTGTGATTTCATTAAACAAATTGCATTGCATAATGTCAAGCCTCTAGGACATCTCATTACAGTAGTGTTGTGTGAGCTATAGTGGTTCAGCATATGCTATAATCTGCAGATCAATTGTACAATGCTGATTTTAAAGGTATTAAGGCTTGCTTTGAATTAAATCATATTTTCATCGTGTTTAGTGCATTCAAATGCTGCATATTCACCTAGGTTAATTCATTCACCTGCTTGCACTGCGGATGGCCAGGAACATGCACAGATAACAATAGGATATAATGCCCAGAGGGATGAAGAATACAAAGCAGCATAACATCAAAGTATAGCTTTTATTGGCAGGAGTAGATGTCACATAGTCCCATGTGCATGAGGTCATCAGGCCCTCGGGTATGTACGAACCTTAAGAAATAAAATGACAGATAAGAAGGAAGTCTAAGGTTTAAAAGTAAAAAAACTGAGGATAGTTGAATAAAAAGAGGAAGGAGATGAAAGACTAAGTTACTTACTCCACCCTAAAAGGGGTGCGAGGCTCCAGGCCAGAGAGTACAGCCAGACCAGGGCGATAATGAGGCAGGTGCGTCTCTTTGAGGTCCAGCGAATGGCCTGCAGAGGCTTGGTGATCACAATGTAGCGATCAAGAGAGATGGCCAGGAGGTTTATCATGGAAGTTATTCCAAACAAAGCTCCACAGAAGGCGTAAATCTTACAGCCTGTGGAGGAAAACAGAGGAAAAAGGGTTTTATTGATGTGATTTGTTCCTCTTTAGGGAAAGATAAGACAAGACAGAATGGAACTTTATGTATCCCCTTGGGGAAATTCAGGCGTGTATAGCAGCAACAGTGTCAGAATGAAAAACAGGATTCACTCAAGGTAAAAATAAAGATAAAATAGAATACAAATTGAAATAATAATACAGCAAAAATAAAGTGATAAGATACTATTGAAACAAGATATCATCGCAAAAAGTTGAGCAATTGTATGAACATGTTAAATGTATTTACATAAGTGTGCAGATGTGAGTGCAGCGTTGTATAACTATAACAAAAATACACAATTTAAACTGTTCATTTAGCCGAGGGTACATATCTGTATATTCTGATACTCTAAAATAAATACAGTATATTACATGGGAAAAGGACATTTTAGTGTTATAAATATATATGTGTACTATATGTTATTCATAGCTCCATACGTAGACAACATTGATGGATACATATAGGATGAAGCTGTTTGTAAGAGTTTATTGTACTGTAAGGAGAAAATACCTGTTTCACCAAAAATCCAGCCCTTGTAGAGGGAGTTCACAAAGAAGATGGGTGACTGCGTGATGGCCATGAGGAAGTCACTGACTGCCAGGTTCATAATGAAAAAGTTGGGAGGAGTCCGTAGTTTTTTGTTACTGAAACACACAACGATGGAAAAGTTTCAAATCAAAAGTGTCAGTACAAAAGCAGAGCAATATGATAAATGTATCTCCAGAATGAGTTAACCTTAAGAAAAAAGACAATAACTATCTTTTTGTTGTGTTTAGTTAACATTCATGCCATCCCACTTTGTTGTAGTACATCCACTGCGTTTCAGAAACACCTACATACAAAATCGGATTATTTCTATTAGCTTATTATAGTTACTACATTATTTCACTTTGTACCTAAACCACACTATACTGGGATACCTGTTAAGACTGTAAAAGTATTTTAAATGTCAGTCTGTGAATTTAAATCCAGGGTAAGGTTTCATAACAAGGAGAGTCTCATGGTTTTGAAAGGTTGTTTTTTTAAATGACTTGTCCTTAGGGGCTGTGCTGTACAGACATGTAGTGGGATATGGATTCATAACCTGGCCAATGCAATATCCCTCCAATAACTCTCAAATCCTCATCTTTTCAAACTCAATTCCACCTTGCTTACCATAATAGGCAGGGGGTGGAAATCAATTTCAATGGCACATCCATTCACCCACTTTCAATAGTAATATAGCTGTATTTGAAAATGCATTCTAACAACAGCATGTACTGAATACTAACTTTAAAGGGGACCTATCATGCAAAATGCACTTTTGTACGTCTTTTATACATGAATATGTGTCCCCGGTGTTCCAGGGAACTCACCAAGTGTCAGAAAACACAACCCTCTCTATTTTCCTCCATACCCAAATCTCTAAAAAAGGGGCTGCAACGGATCTGATAAAAACTGATCCAGATTTGAACACTGCCCTGACGTCAGGACAGTGGCGCTACGGCTATTGGGCCAACTCCACCAATCAGGAGGAGACAGCCACGGCCATTGCCGTTCGAAAGCGCTGGAGACGCTGTAGTACGTATGCCAGGCCAGTAGATGGTGCTGTTCTCACAGAATCAGCCCTTGCTAAAACAGAGCTAGAAATTGTCAAATTGAGCAAAATGAGACATGGCTAAAATGCATGATCTGTTTGGTATTTTGAGAAAAAAAATGTATAAATATGCCTTATATAGGTATGGTCCGACACTATATTATTCAAATATAGCATGATAGGTCCACTTTAACTGAACAGTTTGTATTCCATTCCAAGCAGACTGTTCACACTGAAGTAAATCAAGTATTACAACTTCTCTGCATTATGTATCGATCAGAATATCCGAGCTACCATTAAATGAAAACACTAAAAAGGTACGTCTACATTACCTTTTCCACTCAATTGAATATGTTTCTGTTTATTTAAAGACGATTTAGAATTATCTACACTCAGCTTTTCCTCTTAACTCTACCTCAACATTACTTGCCATTATTTGTCATTATTTTATCCGCTGGTTAATTATTTAAAACGTGTGCCTTGCAGACCAACATCGGACACTCTGACGAACCGCAATGTATTTTGAGTATGTCTAGAAAGCTTGCATCTAATACTCAGAAATTCATGCTAATCTATTATACATCCAGGCATTTATCAAGTACACAAAATACAGATGCAGTCGGAACAACTGCATATTCAATTTTACACCAATCTTAGAACAGGATATCAAGAAAAGCACTATTCTCTTGAGACGGATTCACACCAAAGATTGAAACTCTTAGCAGGGGATTCACCAGATCAAAGGTGAACACACAACAACTGTCCTGTGAACATACTATAAAATGTTGGAAAACTAACAAATATAACATACAGTAGACTCCCCTGACTCATTGCAGCCAGCCAAACCGTTACAGTCAGTAAGGACAGTGACAGCGAGAAAAGAGTCAGACAAAGTAGCCACTTTATTAGAGAAAACCAATTATAACTGACCTTCTAAATGTATTAGGAGGACAGCAAGGAAACACCAAATGTCTACAGGATATCCATAAAAGCCAAGCAGTATTGGCAGCAAATGGATTTCTATAGTATTCATTTGTGTTTCTCCCGAGACTGCCACACAACAAGGTATATCTCCCAGAACAAATAAGTACCTTAACTTTTGATTGTCAAAGCCCATACTGTCAATACTTTCAGGAAAGTCTAATTGCAGCATTTCTTGGGGCATGCTGGATATGTAGCCATTCATCCAATCTAAACATTAACTTGTAGAGTTGTATGAAAAATACTGAGCTTGGAACCAGCGGGCTTGCAGCAGATGATGCCAGTGCTTTTCTAAGGCTGTGTGTTGGCACAGATGGTCATGTTGAAGGCTAATGCATGGTAATGGTGTGTGCTCAATAATATTCTGGTAGGGTGCCATTGCAAACACATACAGACGTCAGATTGTTTTTTGGCAACAGTCTGTATAAATAAAAGCTAATGCCTTTTTCTTTACATCGAACCAAGCCGCCAGGAAATTTGTCAGCCGACCAATGTGTGACGATTTTCTCTATTTGATGAACTGGGGACATCAGATCATGTTGTATATCTTTTAAATGCATGCTTCAGAATATGAACTATTTATCGCAGCTTTTGATGTCTTTGATCTGTGGTGTAATCAGTGTCAGTGAACATTGGTCAGATGGTCAAAGAATATTTGTTTCCTGACCAAAATGAAAACAATTATACAATATGTTCACATAGTGACATATTAGTTACATCAGCTCCATTTAGCCTACGAGCATAGTCCTCCTTGTTCTGCTCACTCAATGTGAAAAGACCAAAAAACAGTACAACAGACAAACAAGTCGGAGTGTATTTGTGTGTTTACATGCAGGTGAGTGGGTATATATATTGAAGAGTGACTACCATGGAGATTGAGTGATGCGACATTTGAGATGGTTGTGTGTCACTGGAGGTTGGACCTTAATGCAGAAATCATGTCAGGCCGAGGATTTGATCTAACACTTGGTCCTTCACTGCATGCAGTGTATTACTATATACCCAGGAGGAACCATAGTGCACTGTATGTAACAAAAGCTGGTGTTAGCTTCAGTGACTTTACAGTCATTCATTCTAACCAAATCTTTTTGTATTAAAATAAACATGGAGAAGATGAGATCGGAGTTTTTGACCCTGAAGATGTGTTAAAATTAGAAAAAAGTTTTCCAAAAATACATTAGCTGGCAGAATGGTTGTTCATATATTCAATGTCAAAGGTTGCTCCCAAAATAGAGATATGAATGGATTTATAATAATAATGGGGCACATACATTATGGGATCTCCTCTTGGTATAGTAGTAGTTAATTGGAATAACCTGAGCTGCAATACTATCATTTGAGCTAGTGTACCCTATTTACGCGGTTTAGGTGGTATTGTACTGAGTTTATACTGTAAGGGAGAAGCTGACTTAATTATTGAATTGACACATTGATATATTTAGTACAGCTAGAAAATCACTGAACTGCTTGCTGATATGGAATGCCTGGAGGCTGGTGCAAAGACCTCTGCCTGTGCTTGTGACATCAGTGCTTTCTAATGTAAGAGCACATTGTGTCTGAACTGAATGTGGGATTCAGTCCTCTAAATCTCTGCAACATCAAAACACTGCACACTGTGCTGTGCAGGGTTGAAAGTACATCACATGAACTGCTAAAAGCTAGTCTCTAAATATTTGGCACGGGTATATATATATATATTTAGTTAAATGTTACTAGTTATAGTATTCAATAAAATGTACATATTCAATCAGATACAGCATCTCTCAATCCAGTCAAACATGCTATTTGATATTTGAAAGCTTCTAATCCACTATTTTTCAGTAGTACATTTTGTTCTTTTTACTTCACTGCATTAATCTGACAATTTAAGTTCTAAGTTAATTTACATATTAAGAATTTACAAAACAAATGGTGATTTCATAAATGTGCAATATTATAACACTCTAAAAGGGAACATTTTGGGACGATGAAATCTATCGATAGCTTTTGACAATGTCAACAGCAGAATAATGCTTCCTTAATCTATACAAGAAACAACATTTTAAACAATTTATGTAACTGCAGAGGTAAATTGCACACAGATGAAAACAGACTAATGAGTGGGCAATACAGGATTTTTTGGCAAAATTGCTTTGAGTTGGTTACTTAGCAGTGATACCAGGATGTTTGCCAAACAGGGAAATTGGGGTATTAGCCAATAATTATTGAGATCTCTGTTGTGCCATACATTTTACAAAATATTTAAGTGAAAACACTTTTAGATACCGGAAAGGATATTACATACTAAAAAAAGATGTGTTACTTTTTCCATGATAAATTGAGTGGAAGGCTTTAAAAAGATCAAATCTAGTCTGTTCCAGTTGATTTCCTGGGATCAGTGGGTTTATAATGCATTAGGTACATGTCTCGGAGAAAAGGTGTGATGTGAACTGAGAAGCATGGTTTGCGGGTTATATACAGGTACTATTAATAGGTGTGTGTCCTGTTTACACATGCTTAAAAAAAAGACTTGCAGCAGCAAAAGTGCTTATTAAAGGCTTTTTTTTAACACTCAGTGACATTTGACATGTGAACATAAAGAATAAGTGTTTTCTATTTATCATTGAATTGAACTGTCTTCCATAAATTACGCTCGACTTGAGTATGTGTGTTGAATTAACTTGTGTGTTAAAAAATCATTTCATTTGGCTTCTCTTATAGATACTATGCATATATTTCTCAGTTGTCTAAGGGTAGGCTAATGTGATAAGTCCCCTGGTTAAATACATGCCCCTCTTAAATTGGCAAGGACAGACACGCACATTCTTCAAAATGACCTGTTCACTTACCAGAGGAAGGCGTACATGACCAAGGCGTTTCCTGTAACACCCAACGTTCCAATCACCAAGACAAAGAAGGCAACGATATAATGAGCATGAGCATGGACATCCACCGGCCGATAGAATCCGGGATCCAGGTCCATTTCTGTAACAACCACACGCACACACATGCACACACACACACACACACGCACACACAGATGTCAGCATCAGAGGGTCTATCTCAATGGAAAGCTCGTCTCACAGACTTTGATTCTAACCCGATCTCCCTTTCTGTCCCTCTGACCCACTAAACTCTCTGGCACTATGAAAAAGTACTTATTCATAATCAGCGAGTAAAATGTCTTCAGGCAAGAAAACAAGATAAGACATAATGGCATACAGTACAGCCTGCATACTGTCTGTTTATTCAGCCATTCCTACATATCAACACTTTATTCAGTTTTGTCAGTTTGGTTCTAAGTAATTTGTCTTGTTCTTATTTGTCTTAGTTGAGGTTTCTTTGTAATAGTTCAAACATTACAAAGTGTCAGTATTTAAACCATTACATTTGTTTTCATCGTTTTCTATCAATTTGAAGGCAGTATTTTCCAATAGGAAATCAGAGGATATCCACACATTTCCTCTCAGTTGACTGTTGATTCAAATTTGAACTTTGTTGAATTCTACAGGAAATGTTGGGTTACTGTTGGCACTGTGACAACATTTGGAAGTATATCTGTAAGTTGTGGGGACAAATCAGTACTGTTCTCGTGCCTACACTGTAAAATACAGTATGTTGTTTGGTTGGCTGGACATTACACACTGTCTATCATGTCTGGCTTTCAAGCTGCATAGGGAAAAGTATTGAAAGGCTTTCACACAAAACAGTGCTAAAGGCCTTAAAACTATACACCTGAGCAAGCATGGCTAGATGGTAATGTCCGTTTGTCTGTAGGTCCTATTCTATGGTCAAGATTGAAAAATCTAAACAACAAATACATTTCTATAACATTTTGCACAGACACTAATGTTCTGTGGATCATGAATGATTTCCATTGATTTCCATGTTTACGTCTGATTGAACATGGCTGTACTTGGGAAATGACTGTTCAGCGTTCAGTGACACAATGCTTGAGATCTGACAAACCTGACCCATAAAGAATGAATATGCATGGTTTTATCTTTGTGTTTACACAGTTGACTTTTCAAATCTGAGTTCCATGAATCTGCCTTCACATATTTAGTTCTCTTTGTGTCAGTACAGGTGTTTGAGACTTTGAAGCCCTTCTTTTAGCTGTTCAACTCTTTTTCATCTATGTTTTCTCAGATTAGAAGATCAGTCATGCTTTCAGCTCTGAAAGGTGTTTGGTTAGGAATTCTCGTTCGATAAAAATCTTTCAATAACAACTTTTTCCTGATAAAAAATACTTTTTTTAGGACTCAAATTCCTCCCATACATTTTCCATTCAGTTTAGACACTGTATTTGTTTGTAATACATTACATTTCTGTAGCTTATAGATTATCACAGTTGGTAAGTTGTAATATCAATCATTAACCTTAGAAACATTGTTTAATAAGTTGGAATTAATTATTAATCACAATAATAGTGACCCACTGTTTGGAGACTGAAGAATCTCACTGAGTATTATTGAACTAATGGGCTTTGAGAGTTGTTCTGAGCTCTTCTTAGAACGGCCACAATAACAAAAAGAGCATGAAGCCAACAAATGAGAAAAGATATTTTTTTCAAAACAACTCTGGTTAGGAAACATACAGTAGGATTTAAAAATGGATGGCAGTCAGACAGACAAGATAGGAAAAGTGGAAGTTGTTAATGTGTCAATAGGGTCCAATGACGACTTTGTTGCAAGTAAATGAGGAAAATGTATCAAACAGTTGATTAGGTAAAGGCTTTTCTGATAATGAAAATGGCTGGACTTTCACATGCTGTTCCATGTGGTCGTTGCTCAGTGATTATACAACAATGTCTTTGCTTTGTTAATGTGATGGAATCAAGAGTGCGTATTGAGTCACGCAATGCTACCATCATTTATCAATGCAAACCCACTTCCTGTTTGCCTCTATTATAGGAATGAGTTATGTTCTAGCACAGCACAATGCTCTCTGCCACATAATATACTCTGAAACATCTATCACATTAATCATTTATTTGAGAACATGTTATAAATCATGTCTGCTTGCTCACAGTTGGCAATGTAAAGCTATGTGATGGTATTGTAGCTAATCCATCCAAGCAGTAGGGAATCTGCTCGTTATGCATATACATGAAAAATGCCTTAGCATGTAGACATTTATATCACGGCACGATGGGTTGAGCACACATTGACGTGCAGGGAGTCAGGTCCAAACAGGGAGCTCTTGCTGTGCTCAGTGAAGCCTTGTGCGTCACAATCACCTCTTACTTCCCCTCATTAGTCATCAAAGCATTGTCTCAAAGGCTGAAGGCCCATTAATCAAATACATATCGGATTTAGTGTGACTAAAAGGGAAATGCAACCTTCGTCGTCTTCTATGAAGATGTCATTACTGGTATGGATGCATTGAATATGTTAATTGTTATTCAAAAATGGATGCAAAGTTCGTGTTCATGGAAACCAAATTGGTCTATGACGATAATCGAGGATAGTAAGTCCTGTCTGCATACCTGTTATCCTTTTGAACAGTTTCTTTCATATTTATACTTCAGTTTATATAAAAATACATTTGATAGCCATAATACCTTTAAAAAAAACAACACCTCTTTTGGTAAATCAATTAAGACATTCTCCTGATGAACGTATTTGTATACATTACACAGAGCATGATTTGCATCAACAAGTGTGTTTGTTAATAATTTAATATACAAATCAAGTTATAAAAGAGGTTAGTTATTGATGAGACACCTGCAGTGTGCACATTCCCAGCTTGGGGTCAATTCAATTATTGATCTGCTAACATCAACATCACTGTATGATCACCGGTGTACATTTCCTGATGAGTGTCAGAATTTAAAATCTGCATAGAATGCTTGAACCTTAATAAGACATGCAAATTAAACTGGTAGAAGCAAGCTGAAACTTAAAAGAATGTAAATATTTATAAGTAGCGTATGGAAACCACATGTTCTTCTGAAAATGCATAGTATAAAATAACTATAGAAAATTAAACACATTCTTGTTAAATATTTGTGTCAAATTGTTGATTTTCATAGATTTACATATACTGTACATGGTATTATACAACTGAAAAACATACATAAAAACAAGTTGTTATAATAAGAAAAAGTAGTTACTTTACCTCAGACAATGTAGTCCCTTTTCCTCTTTATGTTTGCAGTTGACTGTAAAGAGGATCAGAGACACCGCAGCGCATGTAAAAATGCTGGTGAAAAATCCAGATTTAAATAGAAGGAGTTAGAAGGAGAATCTCTCATAAGCTGCAGCCACAGTGCGCTGCTGCTTCCCGTGCTTTAGAGAATATGAGAATACACAGAAAGCGAGCAGCAGCCCATTGACCCATCCCCCTGCTGGCTACCCATCACACACAGCTCTCACATGGCAAAATACATCGATCAAGCCAGTGTGTGGTGTGTGTGCATGCATGAGGGTCTGCTGTTTAAGGGTGAGGTTGGCATGAGGCTGCACTCATCATATTTAAGGCATTTTATTTTGTTTAATCTATAAAAAACGTTCAGATAGAAAATAAGCTACACAAAATTCCCCTTGCACTGTTGTAGTTTCGTTACCTCAAATTACATCTGTGTGTTTTGTAAATGAGTTTTTATAAGCATTGATTTTTGTGTATATATAATATTCTCAGTAGCACAATTGTGTGTCGGCAGCAGATGCCTGGGCTGACTGAGACAATGACACAGCCCTGTTGCTGCTGCTTCCCACTGGGTGCTTAGAGAATTGCAAAGAGAGGTCTTGTGGTTTTGAAACCTTTTACATAGTATCAGACTTGTTCACTGCTCATCCTTGTGTAAGGTGATTCTTGAGAAAAACACTCAGATAAAAGCTTCCCAATGTTTATCATCTCATGCACAACTGAGCAGACAGCTGCAGTGCCTCTTCTTGCCCTTAATATTTCCCTTTTGTACTTTGTGATCTGGCCCTCTTGTTTGACTGTCATAGCAACTGGCCAGTTCACAGCAGGTCTGAATATAAAGAGATGAATAAAATGCAATTTCTGTAGAGATTTATTCTGGATTCCATCTAGCAGGGGGAAGAGATGCCCTTACACTTCTGGGTCACTGCACTTGCAAGGGAAATTGAACTATCAATGAAACACTAGTTTCCAACCAGTTTGCTTCACTATAATGTATTCTGACATTGTAACACACAAAGTCAGGTATTAGCTGTGCTTTCTTCGCTGATTAGTTTTTATGTTGTGCCTTTTTTGAAAGATTTCCTGCGTCAACTACAGGATTGTGATGACCAGCTGATCCACTGGGAGGGAATTGAAGATCATGGGTGCAAGGCTTCACTGTGTTCTTTATGCAGCTAAGACAAAGAGAGCTTTCAATAACTTGATATACTTCATCAAAAGAGGAAATGTTTTCTTGGGAAGCATCCACAGTATGTCAGAGAGGTGTTTTTACCCACCAGGTGGTCTTTTTTTCCTTTTTTATATATGCTTTTGTGTACCATGAACATATGCATAAACGGATCTAAGTTTTACAGCTACTGAAGATTATTCAAATTAAAAGTAAAGTTAATACTAAGAAGATGTGGTCAAAGAAGAACTGTGTGGGAAACTCAGTTTCTCTGACTTCCCTATAGCCTGGAGAAAGACAAATAGAGTGGCTATAACCTCATTTTTTATAAAAACTTGTCATTATCAGGTGTATGATGTGATGCACATGGTAATGGCTATAGAATAATTACAACATTAAAGTTCCATTTCACAATAAAGGCCTGGACCAAGAACAGTCCTTTCCAGTCTGCTATTGGTAACGGATGTTGCTAACAATATATGAACTATCTTCAATATGAATTCATATAAAATAATATGTTCTCCCCGTCTTTGTTGCACAATTTGTTTGGAAACAAAATGTGTCCTGTGTTGTTCGTAGGTCTAAGGAAAGGTTATCCAAATGAATCTTAGAGTAGAGGAAATAAGAATCATTTGTAACACCTTGTTATGCCAAATGCCGTGCATCAAAGCTAAGTAGGGCAATAATCCTCAAAGGACTTCAAGATATGTCCTCACACGTATACATGCGTATGTCAGTTATTTTCGTCAGGCTATAGGAGAGGCTGACAGTGCTTTTTGTTTGCTTCTTCTGCTTAAGGTGACCCCACCATGACAATCAACCATCCAATTACTGTCAAAAAGGTCTGTCACCTCTTTCACTCCCTCTGAGGTGTGAAAGGGAAAAACACATCCCACAAAACACAATCAGATAAAAAAAGCTTGTACATGACGGTCGGTTTGCTCTTGAGTGGGTTTAGAGGCAAGCAATGGTCTACAGAATAAGATTCAAGAAAATGTGTGGGGCCAGAAGCGCATATATAACATCTAACATGCAAAACAATCTGTAAAATATCTAATCAACGAAAGCCAACATGGAAATAGAGAAATTATTGTAAATATACCTCAACCATTCTGAGGTCACGCAAGAACTGACCCAAGGCCAATCAGTGGCCATTGTGTCCGGCGTTTTGAATTGTAATTATGGTCTCCATGAGGCCTTCTAACATCTAGCCGTACGTGCTGCCATCACACTTCTTTATCTTGGTCTACTACTCTAAAACATGATTTGATTTTAAATGGAATTTTCTGTTGAAGCTGTTATCTCCTGATTGCTTACCATTTACTCTAACCCTTAAGTAAGACATGGTCTTTTTGAAATTGGTTGGTAATTATTTAGCTTATTGGACTGAGCCTCTTTATGAAAAGGTAGGACATGGTCTTGCATAAGTCAGGGATGCACTCTGTAAAGACAGACAGAAAAAAGAATACAGGCTACTAGTGCTAATAACGGCCATAGGTCTAACTGCTCAGCCCCAGGAGACTTCAATAGATCAATAGAAAGAGTGTTAAAAACTTCAAAGATGTTTTTGTGGAAATATCAGATTTAGTGAATTCACACTCTCCCTTTCATGCAACAAATCAGCCATTTTTGAACAAATAAAAGGATTGTTCCTGTGTTTGACTAAAATACACATGCTTTCATTTAAATTGATTCATAAAACAATCCAAGAGCATGTTTGTATCAGGGAGTACAAAATAAACAAAATGCTTGTTGAGAAAAAGGTTTGAAATGTATTTTGACAGTTTTGATAATTCATTTTGTATGTTCTTTTTATTTTACTTTTCACAATATATAAAAGGAAAACCATTCAAGAGCATCCAAGAGCCCTGTAGGACACTAAATGTAGCAACATGTGTGTCATCATCATTTGTGAACCGCAACAATTGCTCACAAATCACTTAGAAAGCAGGCCCCTGATTGTGGCCGAGCCCTCTGCAGGCCAGGCATGACCTCCAAAGTAGATGAAGCCCATCTACTTTGGAGCTGCTAAAGACCCCTTCACCTCGTCTGAAGGTAGGCAACTCAAAACACCGGTGCGATTGATTCCTTCACACAAAGGATCCAGCTGGGTGATACATGGTCAATTAAAGTCACCTTCACAGCTTGCCCATGGTCCTTTTAAAGGTCCCATGTCATGGCCATTTCTACTGATCATATTTCCATTGTTGAGGTCTACTAGAATAGATTTAAATTGAGCAATGTTCCAAAATCACATTGGTTTCTCATACAGCATCTCTGTATAGTATGTGTATTCACTCTCTGTCCTAAACGGCTTGTTGGAGCTCCTGCCCCCCCCCTCCCTGTGAGCCCAGTGTGCTCTGATTGGTCGGGACGTTGCCAGGCTCGTTGCTGCTCGAGGAGCGAACAGGTTTCCGGGTCCGCGATACAGCGAGACACAGCAAAACTCATCCTGAGCACACACAAACACTCACAGCCGAAGTAAAAACAATAAGTGTGGCTTGATATTGAGTAAGAAAAAGGTTTATAACGCTGTGAGAATGGCTCTGCGGAGAGCATTTCTCCGCGATCCCAACTCGTCTATTACCAGCGTTCAGGGAGCTCTATGCAAGTCAATGGGGACTCCCATTTGGACCAATCCGGTCATTTGTTGTTGATTTGGGTATTCACACGTCAGAGAACCCAGGAAGAAAACAATGGAAAATGAGAAATCTCCAACGAGGCGTTCTGGGGCAGCATAGACAGGTATTTTCTGTGTTAGAGTTTTACTCGCTACAGGGTGTACTTTGAGGGTTTGTGACTGCAGACCGTTTACATGCATACAAACCTTCATAACACACAAGGGGACGGGTAATAACCGGAAAAGCATGACATGGGACCTTTAATGTTGTTATATTGATTATTTTTCACGCTGAGACACTTGTGTAATTTAGAAAAATAATGGGAGGCAGGGGATGGTTACAGAGGTACACTCTGAGCCATCAAGGGCCGTCATCAGGAGAAAAGTGTTATCTAATGGCAGAGGATCAACTACTCATTTATATTAAGGGCTCCTGCAGACCTGTGTGTGGATTACTACAGATTTAGCTAGTGGCACAGAAACTCACAGGAATGGGAGATTATGAATGAAGCTAACCTCAGTGACACAGTGAACTGTAGCAGAGGATGTGACAGGGATTTACAAAGACATTAATGAATTGTGGTCGTTCTTTATTCTATGGCATTAAAGGTCCCTTATTATACTGTTTTTCATCAATATATTATAGGTCTCAGATATATACAAAACATGTCTCTGAAGTGTTTGGCTCGAAATACCAAACAGATCATGCATTGTAGCATCCCATAAAGCCCTCTGTTTCAGCCCTGTTTCAAAAGTGCTGATTCTCTGTCTGTTACTTTAGATGAAAATAAGGAGCCACTCCCCACGCCCCTCTGAGAGATATTTGGTTAAAAAGAACACAATGTTGCTCTAGGAGGAGATTCAGGTGATAAGGTGGGGGGGGGGGTTACCTTGGTTGGTTATTTGCTAATGGTTACACAAGCCAAAAAATCGTTATGACATCATAAAGTGGCCAAAATCTGTTCAGCTCATTTTCAGACAGGTTTTTATATAAATGGATCAGGACAAAAAGTGAGCAAATGTTTTTTTCCTGAAACTTTCAGAATCTCTTTACACAGAGGGGACACATGTTTACGTATAAAAGACATGAAAAAGTGGATTTTGCAAAATAGGTGACCTTGATGAGGTGAGTATTTAACAGCACAGCTTCATGCTTTTGTTGGAGGCAGGGAACTGTGACATGTGTCTAGGTCACATATATAGTAGTACATTTTGTAATTTATTTT